GAGGCAACAGTGCTAATCACTGGGCCCCGTGTCACCCTGTCAAGGGAGTAGAGGTGAAAGGGGGGATTCTTCAACACAAAGATGGCTAAAGGTAAGACGCTCTGGTTATTAATAGCGAGTTAGGCTTCGTCTAATTGGTGGATCATGCTGCAGCTGCACTCAATCATAAGCACAAGCTCCTCCCGAAATTAGTTTATAAATGATAGTTTTTTTAAGGGTGAGTTCACTTGAAAAGTCAAATTATTTCACTAATCATTCTCCATCATGTCATTCCAATCCCCTGAGACCTTCAATCATCATCTGAATATATAAATGAAGATGTTTCAGATGAATTTCGAGAAATCTTTCGGTGAGCTTTGTATGATTACAGGAAACACTTTAAATACTTTGACAATGTTATTGTTGTTGGTTTTTTTCTGAGGACTGTTTTTAGCAATTACAACAACAACAAGAGCTTCAGAAACAAGTTATTTTTCATAGTATTCCAGTTTACATTCACCGGCCACTTTATTAGGTACACCTGTTCGACCGCTTGTTGATGCAAATTTCTACTCAGCCAATCACATGGCAGCAACTCAATGCATTTAGGCATGTAGACATGATCAAGACGATCTGCTGCAGTTCAAGCCAAGCATCAAAATGAACAAGAAAGAGGATTTAAGTGATTTTGAGCGTGGCATGGTTGTTGCTCAGACGGACTAGTCTGAGTATTTCAGAAACTGCTGATCTACCGGGATTTTCAGTCCATGTCTGCTGCCACATTCGGATGGTTGGGTCAGAATTTAGTGTCAACAACATGAAAGCATGGATCCATCCTGCCTTGTATTAATGGTTCAGGCTGGTGGTGGTGTAATGGTGTGGGGGATATCTTCTTGGCACACTTTGCGTCCATTAGTACCAATTAGGCATTGTGTCAACGCCACAGCCTACCTGAGTATTGTTGCTGATCATGTCCATCCCTTTATGAGCACAGTGTCTCCATCTTCTGACGGCTACTTCCAGCAGGATATGGCACCATGTCATAAAGCGTGAATCATCTCAGACTGGTTTCTTGAACATGACAATGAGTTCACTGTACTCAAATGGCCTCCACAGTCACCAGAGCTCAATCCAATAGAGTACCTTGGGGATATGGTGGAACAGGAGATTCACATCACGGATATGCAGTCGACAAATATGCAGCAACTGCTTGATGCTATCATGTCAATATGGAGCAAAATCTCTGAGGAATATTTCCAGTGCCTTCTTAAATCTATGCCACAAAGGATTAAGGCAGTTCTGAATGCAAAATTGGGGAGAGGGTGCTCGCTGCAGAGCCATCTGAGGAGAGGTGAGCTCCAGAGAGGGGGAGCATGAGCTGTCGCTCCTCCTCCTGTAAGCTGTTTTAATGCGTACACCAACCCCACCCCTAACCCTACCCCCAGTGACATCACTCGTAGAAGAAGTGCAAAAAAGGTGGAGCTCAAGCTTAAGCTCCCCCTCTCTGGAGCTCACCTCTCCTCAAATGGCTCTGCAGCGAGCACCACTTGAAATAGGGTCCAACCCGGTACTACTAAGGTGTACCTAATAAATTGGCCGGTGAGTGTATTGTCAATAATACTATAAAGGTAGCCATTGCCATTCTTTACTAAAGCATCGTAGAGCGTAAATAGAATTAAATACAACATTGCTGCATAAAAACTAAAGATCCAATCACTGTACTATAATATAAGAAATATAGTTTACTATTAAAAGAAAAACATCTTACAACAAAATGCGGCAAGTGACCAATCGGAGTGAAGTTTTCCAGAAAGCCCTGCAATAAAGTCATTGCTCTTGAATTTTCCTTCAAAGCCCTGATTGTTCTCACAGTCTCCGCCGCTGCCAAATGTTTTCTTCTGTCCGTCTCATGTGGACGGACGTCCTGCTTGCGTGGGCTTATTAAACAAACCGTTGAGGCTCGGTAATCCCTGGCTTCTGTGTTTAGTGCTTCAAGCCTCATCATACACCATCTGACAGCGTCACACACACGTGGTTTCTTTCCATATTACTGCAGAGCACGCAAAGATCATGGTCAGAGTCGCATGCAAACTGTGGTGGGTTTCCCACTCCAATCACAGCCACGAATGATTTCATGCAAAACAAGTGTAAAACCCATAGTGAAGGAAAGTTTGTGCATGCAGTGATACTTTTGCAGAAATTATATCACATTGCTATATGCACAGGGCAGCAAGGTGGCTCAGCACTGTCACCTCACAGCAAGAAGGTCGCTGGTTTGAGCCCTAGCTGGATCAGATGGCATTTCTGTGTGGAGTTTGCATGTTCTTCCTGTGTTGGCGTGGGTTTCCTCCAGGCGCTCCGCTTTCCCCCACACTCCAAACACATGCGCTATAGGTGAACTGAATAAGCTAAGTTGGCCATATGAGTGTGTGTGAATGCAGAAGTGTATGGGGGTTACCCAGTACTGGGTTGCGGCTGGAAGGGCATCCACTGCATAAATCATTTGCCAGAATAGTTGGCAATTCATTCTTATTTGGTGATCTCTGATAAATAAGGGACTAAGCCGAAGGAAATGAGGCACTCTGCAGTTTTTGGCAGCCCGAAATAAATTCAAGTAGCCTTAATAGAAAAGACATTATTTTATAAATAAAAACAAATACATACATATATATATATATACACACATATATATATGTATATATATATATGTATATATATATGTATATATATATATATATATATATATATATATATATATATATATATATATGTGTGTGTGTGTGTATATGTATATATACACAGGGCTTGACATTAACATCCGCCAAATGAGGGTCGGTTTCAACGGTGGCGGCTAAGACAGACACTCCCACTAGCTACTTTGGCTGGTTGAAAATAATATTCCCGGATAATAATTCTTAAAAGCAGGGTTCGACAATTAGGATGGTCCAATATGCATGCAAAGGCCATCATAGAATTGAGAAGCAGCACGACTGACAAAAATAATTGTGTTCGAGCGAGCAATAGAAAGCATACTGAATGAGAGGATAATCACTTGCGCTAACAGCTGACCTGATGCGCGCGACTGTTTAAAATGCATGCGCGCTCCCGTTTCCTTGCGTGAAGCAACTGTGTCTAGAAACACAACTGATGTGATCGGTTAAGACATTGAGCCACTAAACATTGTCCTTATGATGTTTTTCTACAGGAGGAATGTGAGAATTTGCTTCCAAATACATCAAATATAGTCTGTGTTAGTAAATGCTAGGCTATTTATGAAATCCAGGCAGCCTACAGCTAATCTGTCAGATTCTGGAGTGCATTACAGCTCTAAAGATTATTATAAATGATGAATGATCCTAAATAAAACAAATACATTCATAGAGATGGTATATAAGCATATCATTTTACTCACCTGGCAAATGGAGGCCACTTAGATGGTTTGTGAGCACAATTCAGTGCACACAGCATGCCATATCATCAGATAATTCTAGAAAATAAATCTCAAAGGCAATTGGCTGTGTAAAGCCACATAAAACAAAAGAAAGACATGATGTATATGCCGCGTTCAGCAGCTAATCAGCCGGAATCATCTGACGTGACGTGAGCAGCGAGACCTTGATGTCACTAAAGTGGCCACGCCCTTAATTATGCGGACTTATATAACTTAATATAAATGAAAGGCATGAGTTTTTAAAGAAATCCCCCCCCCCCCCACAGTTGTCATGAAGGGTAATATTAGCCATATACACCAAAACAATTGTTTGTAACAGACTGTAAACATGTTTTATCAGTTGTAAAATTGGCCAATTTAGCATTGCAGTCAGTGAACATCTGGAGTTCCTGGAGCCAGCCCCCAAAGGCGAGTCGATGAATTGCAGTTTCAGTCACTTCCGTATTGTTTTCACGAGGGAGAGCGGGAGGTTGCCGCTTGACCCCAACCCTCATCCCAACATCACAGTAACCTGTTGTGTTTTATTAACGTATACACCTACCCCAAACCTAAACCCATCCTTACAGTAATTAAAAACATTCATTAATGATGCTATGCTTCAGTGCACATTCTCAGTAACTGCATCCGTAACACTTCTAGCCATAATAAACACACTAATGGTAAAAATCCCAGATTGTGTGGCAGGGATTATGTGTCCTGTGCAGCTGGATGTTATTGAATTGTATACTTTCTTGAGGGGAATTGCAAAAATATTGGTAAAGGCACATTTGTTTAGTGAGCCGATGTCACATAACTTCTTCGGCCTGCTGTCATATCTCTCAGATGTTCGCTTACACAGTTGTGCATGTGGCTTTGGTTGTCTTTGTTAATTTGCTGAGCTACTGTGCGGCTTGTCGCTCTCATCTTGCCGCTCCACACATGGTTCTCAGCATAGAGTGTATGTGTGTGTATGCAGCATGTCAAAGCACATGATGGTAACACATGCTTCTGAGTAGTGTGTGAATGCGGGGCTACTGGCTTCAGTCAGATCCCATATGGAGCCGGTCTGTATCGCAGCTGAGCCACGCATGATAGAAGTGAGTGTGTGTGTGTCTCACTGTTGCTTCCTCACACTCCTACATATCAACACATAGGGAGGACTCGCACACTGCAAAATATGCTGTTCTTACTTAGAGTTTTGTTTTGTTTCTAGTCCATTCATTCCTTTTCTTTTCGGCTTAGTCTCTTATGTTGAATGCAAACGAAGATGATTTAAAGAATGCTGAAAACCGTTGTAGGAAAAAAAATACCGTTAAAGTCAATGGTTACAGGTCTTCGGCTTGTATTTTCTTATGTGTTTAAGAGAAGATAGAAACTAATAAAGGTTTGAAACAAGTAAAGGGTGTGGTAAAAATGATAGAATTGTCATGTTAAGGTGATCTATCCCTTTAATTAAATTTAATTCAATCTAATTCAAATCAGCAGTTTATTAAGGCAAAAATCAGTTAATGGTTTGCTGATAGCGAGAATCGTACCTCAAAATAAACTGTGACGAACATGGGTTAGTAACATTGTCCTCTGTTTGTTTCAGATGTCATCTTATCACAACATTACTACCCATACTTCAGGAGGCTGATGTTTGACGTGAGCTCCATGGAGAAGAACGCCTCAAACTTGGTGAAGGCGGAGCTCAGGATTTTCAGGCTGCAAAACCCAAAGGCCCGCGTTTCTGAGCAGCGCATCGAGCTTTACCAGGTAAATCCAAAGTCCCTTTTAAGGAAAGTCTGTTCACTTGCCTGCCATATTTGCAAAGCCCAGTTAATCCAGAACCAAAGACTTATCTAAGAGAATCTTAAAAGGTTTGTGTGTGTAGTGATTGGCCTGGGTATGTGTAGGGGTGGGACAACCACATAACTCATTATGATTGGCATGCGTGTGTTTAGGGGTGGGGCAAACACATAACTGAAGATGATTGGCATGTGTGTGTTTAGGGGTGGGGCAACCACATAACTGATGATGATTGGCATGTGTGTGTAGGGGTGGGACAACAACATACTTATGATGATTGGCCTGGGTGTGTGTAGGGGTCGGACAACCACGTAACTGATTATGATTGGCCTGTGTGTGTTTAGGGGTGGGGCAACCACATAACTGATGATGATTGGCTTGTGTGTGTTTAGGGGTGGGACAACCACATAACTGATGATGACTGGCATGTGTGTGTTTTGGGGTGGGGCAACCACATAAACTGATGATGATTGGCCTATGTGTGTGTGTGTGTGTGTGTAAGGATGGGACAACAACAAACGTATGATGGTTGGCCTGGGTGTGTGTAGGGGTCGGACAACCACATAACTGATTATGATTGGCCTGTGTGTGTTTAGGGGTGGGGCAACCACATAACTGATGATGATTGGCATTTGTGTGTTTAAGGGTGGGGCAGCCACATAACTGATGATGATTGGTATGTGTGTGTAGGGGTGGGACAACAAAAACTTATGATGATTGGCCTGGGTGTATGTAGGGGTCGGACAACCACGTAACTGATTATGATTGGCATGTGTGTGTTTAGGGGTGGGGCAACCACATAACTGATGATGATTGGCATGTGTGTGTCTAGGGGTGGGGCAACCACATAACTGATTATGATTGGCCTGTGTGTGTTTAGGGGTGGGACAACCACATAACTGATGATGATTGGCATGTGTGTGTTTAGGGATGGGGCAACCACATAACTGATGATGATTGGCATGTGTGTGTTTAGGGATGGGGCAACCACATAAGCTGATGATGATTGGCATGTGCGTGTTTAGGGGTGGGGCAACCACATAACTGATGATGATTGACCTATGTGTGTGTGTGTGTGTGTGTGTAGGGATGGGACAAAAACAAACGTATGATGATTAGCCTGGGTGTGTGTGGGGGTCGGACAACCACATAACTGATTATGATTGGCATGTGTGTGTTTAGGGGTAGGACAACCACATAAGTGATGACAATTGGCCTGTATGTGTAGGGATGGGACAATCACATAACTGATAGTGATTGGCTAATAAACCAGGTGGCAGAGTGTGATGACAACAATTTACTTTCATTATACCAAGATTAAAGCATGAATGAAGATTAGAATGTTTGTTAAAAGAAACTTGCTGCAATACACAGTATCTCATGTCATCTGTGAATTAGTGTTTCAATTTAATTTAATGTGCATTTTATAGTTGCTTTTCCTGGTAATTCGTTACTTAATTCAGTTACTATTTGTGAGATGTTACTAGTAACTACTTTCTGATGTGACGTGCCCAACACTGACACCAAGCGAGGGAAGTAAACAGTGATGTAAAGCAGCAGTGTGAAAGCGCCCACACATGTACTTTCTAACCTCTCTTCTCCTCGTATGTTCGTTTATTTATCTTAAGGGTGCTGTAGGGCTCCGGCCCATCGATCAGCGGGGTTTTATGTGTGTGTGGAGAGAAGTGAGTGTGGAATGCAGTTTGGTGATTTAGAGTTCGGAGGGTCTCGAGGGCTGAATAAAATCCCAGCGCTGTCGAGGTCTGCGCTCCCCGCCTCCCACCTGCCTCTCCATTTAACCTCGCTCCCCTCCTCTGTGTTCATGTGTCAGGTCCGTCATGACAGGTGCAGTAAACACTGTCCCGCTAACACTCACATGCTGAATGTGTTAGGGAGGTTTTAAAATGAAGGGAGAGCTTGATCCGGCTCCATTTTTATTACTCATGTTAATGATCCTGCTGGCTCTGGGCAGGTTCGTACGGTTATTATAATTAAAGTCAACTTCAGTAGTGATGATATAGTGCAATAGAAGTCAGTTTATCAGTGTATTACATTGGATAATCTAAAGGCGTGATTCACAAACTGTGAATCTAATCGCCACAATTATAAAAAAAGCAGTTGCTGTTTTGTACATTGAATTTAATGAGCATTATGTCAATTTAACTTACATAAACATAGTTTAAATATGTCTTAAAAATGTTACCATGACCTCATGATAACTTTGAGTCCAGTCTGAATGAACAAAATAGTGCCGGTTGTATAAGAACGGTGAAACAACTCATAGATGGATGGATGGATGGATGGATGGATAAATAGATAGATAGATAGATAGATAGATAGATAGATAGATAGATAGATAGATAGATAGATAGATAGATAGATAGATAGATAGATAGATAGATAGATAGATAGAAAATAAAATTATATAGTCAAGCTCAAAATTATTCATGCCCCAGAGTTATGAATAATTTTAAGCATGACTGTTTATGTACACTCACCGGCCACTTTATTAGGTACACCTTACTAGTACCGGGTTGGAGCCCCTTTTGCCTTCAGAACTGCTTTAATCCTTCATGGCAGAGATTCAACTAGGTACTGGAAAAATTCCTGAGAGATTTTGCTCCTTATTGTCATGATAACAACACGCAGTTGCTGCAGATTTGTTGGCTGCACATCCATGATGCCAATCTCCCATTTCACCACGTCCCAAAGCTGCTCTATTGGATTTAGATCTGGTGACTGTGGAGTGTGGTCTTCTGCTGCTGTAGCCCATCCGCCTCAAGCTCGGTTGTATCGAGTGCTTATTTGAGTTACTGTTGCCTTTTCTATCAGCCGGAACCAGTCTGGCCATTCTCCTCTGACCTCTGGCATCAACAAGGCATTTGCACTCACAGAACTGCCACTCACTGGATATTTCCTCTTTTTCTGATCATTCTCTGCAAACCCTAGAGATGGTTGTGCATGAAAATCCCAGTAGATCAGCAGTTTCTGAAATACTCAGACCAGCCCAACTGGCACCATCAACCATGTCACGTTCAAAGTCACTTGAATCCACTTTCTTCCCCATTCTGATGCTCGGTTTGAACTGCCGCAGATCGTCTTGACCATGTCTACGTGCCTAAATGCACTGAGTTGCTGCCATGTGATTGGCTGGATAGAAAGTTGCATCAATGAGAATTTGGACAGCTGTACCTAATAAAGTGGCCGGTGAGTTTATATCCCAATTACATATATGACATGCACATTGATGTTTTAATTACAGTTTTTTTACTTCATTTGTGATACCCAAACATGAACATGTATGTCATATATGTAATTGGCACCATATATTGGATTTTATATGGGAGTACCTCAACTCTCCTGTTAAACCAATGGACCCTTTTCACAAGACTGTTATGATACATATAACGATCACCAGCATCTTAATTCCTTGAAAGGTTTGAATATCTTGATTATTAAAAAAAAACATATGAACATTTATATGTATTTATGTATGTATTATATCATATTTGTTATTACAAAAACAATTTGCAGCTTATGCGAGGTGTTTGTAATACAGCGTCTATGGGAGCAGGACAGTAAATCTGCCATTATTCGCTCTTCTGGCTGCTGTTATCATTCTCACACTATTTGTTTCCTTCTTCTGAAAGTCTTGATAACACCATCATGGAGTGTTTCTTTCATTATTTCAGCAAATAGGATTGTAAATAAATGGTTTGTTGTTCTCTCCCATTCACTGCGCTCTGAGTTTACCAACTATGACAACTTCTGGGAAATCCAGAAATGTGAAAAGGGTTCCTTACAGCTTTATTCCCACCCAGCTTGAGATGTATCTCCATGTCAACAGTTGCGTAACTTGATTCCAAACCAGCCTAGTTTGTGCACATCAGACCCCTGCAGCTCCAGTTAAAATATCCCTCAATTAGTATCTCCATTCTGGCCTCCGTCTGAGCCTCTCCATCCCACGTTCACCTCCACGGCCCGATGGAAGGAAGCTGAGCCGCTGCAGTGTTTTAGGCATTAGGAGCTGCGGCGTCCAATATAAACACGCAGCCACGGAGGACAGAGGAATAACAGTGCACCCTGTCCAGCATCTGTTTCCGCCACCGCAGCCTCTCCAAGCATTTCCCAGACCTGGCTAATCAATCAGGGAGCTTCCAGCGGGAGGAAGGGATCCGCTGTTTTGAGCCCTGGCATATGAACGCAACATAGGCTTATTGTGGATATGTACCCAGGTCTACGTATCTGGAGACTGCAAAATATGTACCCAGAGGTACACTTAAATTCAAAATTATTTGTTCTCCTTTCTCAAAATTTTCCCAAATGATGTTTAGCAGAGCAAGGAGTTTTTCACAGTATTTCCAGTATAATGTTTGTTCTTCTGGAGAAATGTTTAATTTCGGATAGAATAAAAGCAGCTTCCTAGGATTTTTAATATCATTTTAATGTCAATATTATTATCCGCCTTGAGTAATAATTGTTTTCGATTTGTCTACAGAACAAACCACTGTTATACACTACCTGACAAGTCTTGTCGCCTATTCAAGTTTTAGGAACACAAATTATTTGACTTCTAGTTGATCATTTGGTGTCAGAAGTGGCTTATATGAAAGGCAAAGGCCTCTAGATCAGTGGTTCTCAAACTGTGGTACGGGTACCACTAGATGTACGCAGGCTTCCTTCTATTGGTACGTGGAAAAATCGTTGAATAATTAAAGTAAAAAAAACGAACACACTTTTAACGCATACGATAACACAGATGTGATCAGTAAATTAATTTTAATAGGCTAAACCTTTTGTTTTACATTTTTAAATGTTTGTTATGTATTCTATTACTTAAAGCGAATTTCCTCCCCACACTGTAACGGTTGTTGGGGGTGTATCCCGTATCTTTATATCCCAATGTTGACAGCTGTAGTTTAATCACTTTTCTGACACACAAAGCCTACTCTAATGCGCAGTAAGACGATACAATTTCTAATTTAAGTATGTAAATATAAATCATATATTTAAAATGAAAAATAAGTTAATGTTTAGATTGCAAAGATATACAAATAAGTCATATATATATATATATATATATATATATATATATATATATATATATGTATATATGTGTGTGTGTGTGTGTGTGTATATATATATATATATATATATATGTAAAACTGCAAGCAGATGTAGCTCTGGGTACATATTTCGCAGTTCCCAGAAATGTAGACCTGGGTACATATTCGTAATGAGCCTGGGTTGCATCAACGTTTGCTGATGTGTCTTTATGTGTCTTCAGGTTTTAGGGCATAAAGACCTGACGTCACCTACACAGCGATACATCAACAGCAAAGTGGTTCGCACCCGGACGGAGGGAGAATGGCTGTCGTTTGACGTGACGGAGGCTGTCAGCGAGTGGCTGCTACACAGAGGTAAACACTCTTAGGGCCCTATCATAAAACCCGGCGCAGTGTGGCGCAAGGCGTGATGCAATAGTCTTTTGGTAGTTTCAGCTTGGCGCAAGAGTGGTTTTGAGGCGTTGCGCTACGCTGTTTAAATAGCAAATGCATTAGCGCTCGTATGTGCGTCCATAGGCGTTCTGTTCTAAAAAGGAAGGCGTTCTGAGGCGGACCACTGGCGCGTCGCTATTTTGAGAAACTATAATAGATTTTTCACTAGACCAAAACAAACCCGGTCTAAACTCCAGCGCAGAGTTGCGCCTCGCTTACACACTGCTTAATACACACAAGAGAGCAATAGGCAAATATCTTTACATATGAAAAAAAATTAATATTAAGGATATATATAGGATATAATAAGAATAGATATAGGATATAAATATAAAGGATTAAAATATTACAAAACATATTATTTTCTAGCCTACATAAATATGAAAAATCACTGCTTTTATGTCTTCTTCATCTCGGGAGGCTTTTTCAGTTCATTCAAAACAATTTGCTTTTGTATAATGTTATTATTATTAGCAGTATTATTTATTATATCCATATTTATATTTGTTTTATTAAAAACAAGCTTAGATTTGCCCACCTGTCAGGTTTTAGACCATATGGGGCACAGCATGTGTTTTATGATATAACTCAGGTTTTTGGCTCATTTTGTCATTATTGTTCATTTATTCGTTTGCTGGAAATTAGAACTGAATTTAGAAATAGTTTTGAAACGAATATTTGCTCTTAACACACAAAAGTATTTATTTATAGACTAATTGATGTCTGTGCGTAAAGGTTTCCCTATCCAAGAGCGAAAGTGAAAGTAGATCCATTATCTCTCATTCTCACGCAGTAGATGCTCTGTTTAACTGTTTTCTGTTAACTGTTTGCTTGTGAAATGCTCATTTTTTCCACTTAGACTTACTTTGCGTCCTGTAAATAGCGAATGCGCTCTTGGCGCGACGCAGCTGACTCTTAAAGGGAATGGGAGATGAGACTCTAATTGGTTTATTCTTAAAACACACCTATAACTCATTAAGAGAATAAACTCAACCCTTTTAGACCATGTGCCGAAGCGCAAGGCAGACTTCCCGTCCTTAAATTAGCAAAAACGCGTCCTGACATGCCCTGAAAGCATTTGCGCCCTGCGCTTTGCGCATGGACCGTCAAAATAGAGCCCGCATATATAGTGGGATTGAGGTAAAGTTAGTTTTATATCAGAGCATTGTCTAAATCGTATTGGTTACCATGTAAAGTTATTTATTTAGTGATACTGATACTTATTTAGTGAAACACTCAAATTAAAGCTGACAGTCTTCACTTCATTTCAAATCCGTTGTCTTGGTGTATAGAGTCAAAAATGTCAGAATTGTGTTGATGTCCCGATATTTATGGAGCTAATTGTGTATACTATAGATCATGTAAAACAGGAACTTAAAAGGAACTCATGTCAACATCTTAATACGGATTACTGTCTTATTCAGATTACGGTAAATCATTTGACTCCTGTTGTCCATGTAGTCAGTGATGCCTACTCGCATCAATTTAAGTGTACCGTTGTTGGCTTGGACGAGAATCGCAGGAGATCGTCATCATGCATCACAGATGAGCTTATAAGAGCTGGAGCGCAGCAGTTCTCCATCAAGATACGAGATGAATCTGTGACGCTCGGCGACTCCTGAGGGATCATGGGAGTGATCTCAGATCTCTCGCTCCAGAGATGAGCTCATTTATCTGCTGTAGATTATCTGACCTTGCCGTGCATGAGCTGTTTTTTTCTTATGTTTTTCGCTGTCTTTCTCTCCCACCAGACAGAAACAAAGGATTCAAGATCAGCCTGCACTGTCCCTGCTGCACATTTGTGCCGTCAAATAATTACATCATCCCCAACAAGAGCGAGGAGCTGGAGACGCGCTTTGCAGGTGGCTTTGGGTGGGGGTTCGAGTCAGTTTATATGTGTGTGTGTGTGTGAGTGTGCGTTAGAGAAAAGGAGAAGAGAAATGCATGTTTTTGTTGCTTCACAGAGTCAGATTTGATTTATAGATACGTTTTGGGTTCATTCCGAAAGGATTGATACTGATTAAGGCCCAATCAAATCAACTCCACAAAAGGTAAACAAGAGGTTGCTGGAAAAGTCCAAAGACGGGACACGGCTATGCATTCCAGATGACGTCTGTTTGTCACACTTTACAATAATATTAAAGTCATCAAAACATTGAAATGATGCACTGAGGTGTGGAAATTATGTGGTGAGCAGAAAATGCGCAACAAATGAAAACTAGCTTGTATTTGAACTTCAGCAAAGCCTCCACCCTTTAGATTCAATCAGGGTCTGCTTTTGAAAGAATGCGTAAATAGTCTTTATGTTTGCTGGACACGTTGAGTCGACTATTTGATGAATGAATGTGTTATATTAATTAATTAGTTTTATTAAACCAAAACATTAAAGGGTCACGACACACCAAAACACATGTTTTGAGCTGTTGACAGTTGTATATGTGTCCCACACTGCTAAAAACACTATTAGGACACCTATATTTCACTAAAAAGTGTAAATTGGTTGTTTTTGCGTTATTTCAAGCAAATTCGTACGTCCGGTTTGAAACGATTTTTGAAGCTGCGTCACGGTCGTGAGATAATAGCGTGTATTCCAGCATGCAGACTGGACGTCTGTGCCAGAGTGAGTCTTATTACGTCTTACAGTGTGCTGCATTAATGCGTGAGTAAGGCTTGGTTCAAACCAATCAGTGCGCTCTATTGTGCAACTTCATTAATATTCATTACTGTCACAGTGTTTAGACGGCAAAGACGCCACGTTGTGTTGGCAAAACAAGCGTGAAGTGTTGCTTTTATAGTTTTATAGTTAAGTTTTGTTTTAATTTTCTCTCTGTGAGAGCGCAGTTGGCAACACGTGTGGATTAACAGTGTACGCGACGCTCGACAACAATAACTTACGTGTCTAAGGAGGAACATTGTTTACCTGAGAGCTGTTCTCATCTGCAAACGCTGAGATCCGGATTCGCTTGTAGTCTCCTCTTAATAAAGACGCGGCTCTAGTTGCTGGTGATTGTCCTGTCTCTGCAGATTTGGTAAGTGAGCGACCAGTGCTCTTTGTTTATTCAGTTCGTATTTTATTCGTATCAAACAAACTATTGCACCGAGTGTAAACAAGTTAGCACTAACAGTTACAATCAAACTATAACCTCGTGTTGGATTTTGTGACCGGAATAACACACGCGGCTTTCTGACACTACCTGCCGTGTGCATCTAAGTTTCCGGGAAATGCTGAGTTTTTTTCTCTCATTCGCCGTGCGGTATCAAACATTGCATGAAAAATACACGCTTAGAGCAGATCCTCGAATCAAATATCACGTTTGTCGGGAGGGACATGAATGAATTCCCTGAATGAAAGAGCCAAACTGCAGTTAAAGTCCACTATTTAATAATTTGGCAAATAATTCGACTAGAGATGTCCATGTAAACACAGTCACATTGTCTGCTGTGGTTGTGTGTTTTGACTCTGAAATTCAGCGCGCCCAAATAGACACTCCCACACCATCCCTCTTTTCTTCCTCTGACACTCCCCCCTAAACAGAGCTGGACACGCCCACTTTTCTGACTTTTTCCAAAGTAGAGGTGTAAAAAAACACCCTGCTGAAACGAGGGGCTTTCATGGCCCTTTAAATGACGAGAGTTGATACTGATTTACGGTATATTTATACTTAAGTCAAGTGTAAGCGTATGGTCTGGCGCAGCCTTCCTGTGGTCACATAGCCCTCACCATACCATGGCTTACGCGCACCTCTCATAAAACGTAACTACAGATCGCAACAACGCAAAGCACAAGCTCTGTGATTGGTCGGCTTGGTATCTGTGTCGAGTGTGGGCGGGGCCGAGAGCCTGATTGGGCAAGTGTTTACAAGTCGTCACCTTAAAATTATAAGGTGCTATCTGACATTTTTGTCTAAATTGAGTTATTGAATGACAACTTATTTACATTATGGGATGTTTTTCATAAGTTGTTTACATTTTAAGACTTTTTCAAGAGTTCACACTTAGCTGATAATCAATAAAGCGTATTTGGCATGCTGTCCCGGGAGAGAGCCCTGAGCTCGTAATATCCTCGAGCCCGGGGCTCCCTCCCGTTAAAAGGGCGAGAGGGGAATTCGAGGTCAGGTAGGTCTCGAGAACTCCCCTGCTTGTCACCGTGAGAAGTGTAAACTAAGGTTAAATTGGATAATAATTTGTTTTAGTCGATTGGCTATGGTTTATGTTTTTGGACGGTGGAAGGAAACCAGGGAACCCGGGGGAAACCCACGCGAACACGGGGAGAACATGCAAACTCCACACAGAAACACTGACTGGCCAGAAAGGTTGGACCGGCAGTGTTCTTGCTGTGAGGCAACAGTGCTAGCCACTGGGCCACCGTGTCGCCTGATCAGAAAAAGGGGGAGGAGGAAGGGGTGGAAAGGGGGGAGCTTCAAGACGAAGATAACTGGAGTGAAAAACTCTTATTTATGATGCTTCCGTAATCATCTAATAAGGCTGATTACGGAGCTAATAAGGAGCCAGCCGTGTTGATTATAAGCACGTGATCCTCTCGAAATTAGTTTATGAATAAACCGCACTTATTTAAAAAACAAATGTTACTTTGCTGTGGAATGCAAAAACTTTAAAGCCTAATATCTCAAAACTCCAAGGTGACCATGTGTTGAGTCTCGTAAAGTAGCTCTAGATGTTTTGCCTCATGACTAAAGTCTGCCGGTTCCCGCCTCAGAATGAGTGAGTTTTAGCTACCTGTACATTAAGGTAGCGTTAAGCATAAACAAAACACCATTGAAGAAACTCATTACAGAGGAACATAACATAACCTTCTGCCAGCTAGTGTTTCAGAAGTGTTATTGTAGAGCAAAACAAACAGCATGCATGAGTATAACTGCATGACTATGCGCAATGCAGGCACTGTGGGTCATGGCACTTCGTAATCGTTGATTACTAAAATAACATTATTTTTATTAAAAAGGTTTGCTGGACACGTTGATTTTTCTCTTTTAGCATATGATTTGAATAATAAATTAATTATTTAATTATATTAAACCAAAAGATTGGGCGGCGCAGTGGCGCAGTGGTTAGCACAATCGCCTCAGAGCAAGAAGGTACCTGGTTCGAGCCCCGGCTGGGTCAGTTGGCACGGGGTTTCTCCCAGTGTTGGTGTGGGTTTCCTCTGGGTGCTTTGGTTTCCCTCACAATCCAAATACATGCGGTAAATTGGCTGTTGTGTGTGAATGAGTGTGTATGAATGTTTCCCAGTGATATGTTGTGGCTGAAAGAGAGTCCGCTGCGCAAAACATATGCTGGATAAGTTGGCGGTTTATTCCGCTGTGGCGATCCCAGATTAATAAAGGGACTAAGCTGAAAAGAAAATGAATGAATGAATGAACCCAAAACATTACATGACAATAGAGTTGCTAATCATTTAAGGCGCTTTTACGGCTGAATAATACTGCTGCGTCAAGCTGTGTTTGATGTACAGTAGCAATGCTCTCTGTATGGTTTGCTGGTAAAAGATGGAGCCTAAAACAAAGTTTCTACCCATTCGCAGGTATAGACGACAGCTTTGTGAATGGAGGGGATCTGAAGATGTTTAAAAAGCGCCGCCACAGCGGTCAGTCTCCACATTTGCTGCTGATGCTGCTGCCATCATACCGTCTGGAGTCGCAGCATAAGAGCCACAGACAGAAGCGAGCCCTGGATACTGCTTTCTGCTCCAGGTACTTTTTTTTTGGTTGTAGGAGACACTTTTTAATTGTTTTATTTATTTATTTTTATTGTTTTATATATATATATACACATATACTATATAATTTTTTTCATTTTATTTTATTAAACCCATGAGAGGTACACAAATGACATGGAATCAAATACAAGGGAAACAAAGGAAAAACAAGTTGCAGAAAAAAAACAGCAGTCAGGTACAGCCATATATATATATATATATATATATATATATATATATATATATATATATATATATATATATATATATATATATATATAAATATAAATAGACAGATTGAATAAAATAATAGAACAAAACCAATCAGTGATGGCGAATGACAAATAATATTAATGATAGTAATAATTACAGTTAAAAAGAAACTACTGCAACAACTACTACTACTACTACTACTACAACTACTACAACTACCAAAACTACTACTACTACTACTAAAACTACTACTAAAACTACTACTACTACAACAAATACTACTTGTACAACAACTACTACTACTACAACTACTACTTCAACTACTACTATCACTACTACAACAACTACAACAACAACAACAACAACTACTACTAATACTACTACTAAAACTACTACTACTACAACAAATATTACTTGTAAAACAACTAATACTACTACAACTACAACAACAACAACAAAAACAACAACTACTACTACAACAACAACAACCACTACATCTACTACTAAAACTACTACTACTACAACAAATACTACTCGTACAACAACAACTACTACTACTACAACTACTACTTCAACTACTACTATCACTACTATAACAACTACTACTACTAAAACTACTACTACTACAACAACAACAACAACTACTGTTACAACTACTACTACTACAAAAGCAACAACTACTACTACAACTACTACTTCAACTACTACTATCACTACTACAACAACTACAACAACAACAACAACTACTACTACTACTAATACTACTACTAAAACTACTACTACTACAACAACAACAACTACTGTTACAACTACTACTACTACAAAAGCAACAACTACTACTACAACTACTACTTCAACTACTACTATCACTACTACAACAACTACAACAACAACAACAACTACTACTACTAATACTACTACTAAAACTACTACTACTACAACAACAAAAACTACTGTTACAACTACTACTACTACAAAAGCAACAACTACTACTACAACTACTACTACTACTACTACAACATCAACTACTACTACAACTACTACTACTACTACAACAACAACAACTACTACTACAACAACAACAACTACTACTACTACTATAACTAATACTACAACTATAATAACTATTCCTACCACTACAAAAACAAAAACTACTACTTCTACTACAACAAAAACAACAACTACTACTTTTACAATTACTACCACTACAACTACTACTATTACTACCACTACCAAAACCACTACTACTAATACTACTACAACAACTATAACAATCACTACCACAACTACTACTACTACAATGGCTACTACAACTACTAATATTATTACAACAACTCCAACTACTAGAACCAGAATAATGCCCTTGGTATTAATACTACGACTACTAATAATGAGTAGGTAAAAGGAAAAGGACAGGTAGTTATTTTAACACAGTGCGCATCTGAAAAGCAACACCACTGCACTTCTGTGTTCTCTATAGATCCTCATCTGTCAGCAGTTAAAAACCGCCAGACTTCAGTCCAGCATTATGCAATCGGTGGGCCGCATATCAAAGAGGGGACCACCTATCAAAGCAGACTGAACTTAATCAATGAACTGGAAAACTTTTCACTGTTGGATTAAAGCTAAATGTGGCTGGATTGTCTTTTAACACAAATCATCTGTATTCTCTCTCGCTGCTGTCACGATCACGTTTGCGCTCGCATTATACCCAATGTGCTGTTAATTTTATACTTCCTGACGTTAAACTCCCATGGTAACATCCAGCATTAACAAGCTGAGAAACTATCAGACTTTTCTTTCCAAAATCGTAAAAAAAAAGAAGTGTTGTTTGGTGGTAAAGAACAATCTGATCTGATTAGTAGCGCTGGACGGAATTCAGCATCTTAAGACACTTGAAAGAGCAATTTTCTTTCCTGTGTTGACAAATTTGCTATTGGAATAGACGTTTTGGGTGGGACGTCTCAAAAGACTCATCTCTTTTTCTTGTACTGTGAGACACATCACAGCTGTGAACCGTAATTTCCTGTTTTCTGTCTTTTTTTTTTTTTTTTTTTTAGATAGCATAAATAATACTCGGTACAACTACTGTTTTACGTTGCTGTGACGTTAATGAAATACAATAAATGGGAAATTTAACAAATAATATAAATAATTCTCGTTAGCTTCCGGCCACAACCATATCCGACCTAGCAACAACCAACTAGTGCCATTTCTCTAATCTGAAAATGAGCCCTGATATCCCTTTTTTATTTTTACTATCCATTCAGACCATCGGGTAACTGGATGGACGGGGCAACCATTACTGCATCCAAAATGGTGAAAAGCCTTGGAGTAACGATTGATGACCAACTAAACTTCTCTGACCACATCTCTAGAACTGCTCGATCGTGCAGATTCGCACTCTATAACATCAGAAAGATCCGACCCTTCTTATCTGAACATGCAGCTCAACTCCTTGTTCAAGCTCTTGTTCTCTCCAAACTGGATTACTGCAACTCTCTACTAGCTGGGCTTCCAGCTAACTCTATCAAGCCTCTTCAGCTGCTCCAGAATGCAGCAGCACGAGTGGTCTTCAATGAACCTAAACGAGCACATGTCACTCCGCTGCTACTCCGTTTGCACTGGCTGCCAGTTGCTGCTCGCATCAAATTCAAAGCTCTGATGTTTGCCTACAAAGTGACTTCTGGCTTTGCTCCTTCGTATCTGCTCTCGCTTCTGCAGATCTATGTGCCCTCCAGAAACTTGCGTTCTGTGAATGAACGTCGCCTCGTGGTTCCATCCCAAAGGGGGAAAAAAATCACTTTCGCGAACGCTCACGCTCAATCTGCCCAGTTGGTGGAATGAACTCCCTAACTGCATCAGAACAGCAGAGTCACTCGCTACTTTCAAGAAAGGACTAAAAACTCAACTATTTAGTCTCCACTACACTTCCTAATCTGTAATTGCCTCTCTGAATATCACACTAATTGTACAAAAAAAAAAAAAAATACTAATACTACTAATACTTCCCTTCTTAGACTTTACAGACCTGAAACTTGCTTATAGCACTTATTCATTGTTGCTCTTAGTTGTGTAAATTGCTTCCTTGTCCTCATTTGTAAGTCGCTTTGGATAAAAGCGTCTGCTAAATGACTAAATGTAAATGTAAACTCCGAAGGTGGTAAAATGATAAATTAGTGTCGCTTTCTCTTCGCTGATAAGATATACAGCCAGTTACACAACATTCCTGTGTCTCCAGGCGTTACTTCCAGGTTTCTTCCCACCGCAGATTACACTTTTAAAATGGCGGCTGCTTGAAATCGGTCTATTGTCACTCATAAGGCACAATGATTTCTGGTGGTATACACTAGCACTGACATTCATTAGTAGGCTTCTTCTAAAGGGGTTAGATCTTCATTAAAAACATCTGATCTGCTGTAAATTCTCAATAATAACTTTTATTTATTATTGTTTTACGTTATTATTTATTATTGTTATTGCATTAAAGCAGTTTTAGCATTTGCATACCTACATTTACCAAAACAATGCTGTTTATTGGAGTGTTTTTATTTCCTATTTTCCATATATTATTGATTGACGAGCTTAAAAGTGTACCTATTCTTCATAGTCCATTATATTGAACATCAGTCTCCCTTCATCCCGTAGGAATGTGCAGGACAACTGCTGTTTACGCTCGCTCTACATCGACTTCAAGAAGGATCTGGGTTGGAGGTGGATCCATGAACCCAAAGGGTATAACGCCAACTTCTGTGCAGGAGCCTGTCCGTATCTGTGGAGCGCAGACACCCAACACAGCAATGTAAGAATTCAGGAGGATTTCTACAACCACACCAAATCCATTTGTTAGTTTTCCTTTGTGCCTGGTTTGATCATGCTGCTATGATCCTGCATACAGAGTCTTGATAGCGCTTCCCTTTTTCCACATTTTTTTATATCACAGCCTTATTCCAAAATGGATTAAATTCATTGATTTCCTCAACATTCAGAGTGAATACAGAGTTTTTGAAATTGTTGCAAATTGATTACAAGTAAATAAGCTGTAAAATCACATGTACATCAGTATTCACAGCCTTTGCTCAATACTTTATTGATGGAACTTTGTCAGTGATTACAGCCTCAAGTCTTTCTGAATATGATGCCACAAGCTTGGCACACCTGTCTTTGGGAATTTCCGCACATTCCTCTTTGCAGTACCTCTCAGGCTCTATCAGGTTGGATGGGAAGCGACGGTGTACAGCCATTTTCAGATCTCTCCAGAGATGTTTAATAGGATTTGGGTCTGGGCTCTGGCTGGGCCACTCAAGGACATTTCCTGAGTTGTTGTGAAGCCACTCCATTGATATTTTGGCAGTGTGCTTTGGGTCATTTTCCTGCTGGAAGATGAACCGTCGCCCCAGTCTGAGGTCAAGAGCACTGTGAAACAGGTCTTTATTCAGGATGTCTCTGTACACTGCTGCATTCATCTTTCCCTCTATCCTGACTAGTCTTCCAGTTCCTGCTGCTGAAACACATCCCCACAGCATGATGCTGCCACCACCATGCTTCACCGTAGGGATGCTGTTAGCCTGCTGATGAGCTCTGCCTGCTTTTCTCCAAACGTAACGCCTGGCATTCACTCCAAAGAGTTCAATTTGAGTCTCATCAGACCAGAGAATTTTGTTTGTTATGGTCTGGGAGTCCTTCAGATGCCTTTTGGCTAATTACAGGCAGGGAGTGTCTTCCGTCTGGCCACTATACCACACAGGCCTGATTGGTGGATTGCTGCACAGATGGTTGTCCTTCTGTAAGGTTCTCCTCTCTTCGCTGAAAAACGCTGGAGCTCAGACAGAGTGACCATCGGGTTATTGATCACCTCCCTGATTGTGGCCCTTCTCCTCCGATCACTCAGCTTAGATGGCCTTAGAGTCTCAGCCTTAGAGTCCTGGTGGTTCCAAACCTCTTCCTCTTCCGGATGATGGAGGCCGCTGTGCTCATTGGAACTTTCAGAGCAGCAAAAATGTTTCTGTAACCTTCCCCAGCCTTGTGCCTGGAGACAATCCTGTCTCGGAGGTCTACAGACAGTTCATTTGTCTTCATGCTTGGTTTGTGCTTTGACATGCACTGTCAACCCTGGGGACTTATATAGACATGTGTAGCATTTTCAGATCATGTCCAATCAGCTGAATTGAGCACAGGTGAACTCCAATGAAGCTGCTGAAACATCTCAAGAATGATCAGTGGAAACAGAATGTACCTGAGCTCAATTTAGAGCTTCACGTCAAAGGCTGTGAATACTGATGTACATGTGATTTTACAGCTTTTTATTTGTAATAAATTTGCAGCAATTTCAAAAACTTTTTGTTCACATTGTCATTATGGGGGATTGTGTGTAGAATGTTGAGGAAATCATTGAATTTAATCCACTTGTACTAAGGCTCTAACATAAACAAATGTGGAAAAAGTGAAGCGCTATCAATACTCTCCGGATGCGCTGTACTGCAGTAAAGCTATACTTTTATCACAGTAAATGCATTATATAATAGCCTTCCCCTCCCCTGTTTCAGATCCTTGGCCTTTACAACACTATTAATCCAGAAGCATCTGCATCTCCCTGCTGCGTGTCTCAGGATCTGGAACCCCTCACAATCCTCTACTACATCGGCAAGACCCCCAAAATCGAGCAGCTCTCCAACATGATTGTCAAGTCTTGCAAGTGCAGCTAGGAAGCGATCTAACTCCACTTCCATGACGTCCACGCATTCAGACTGACAAACACAATAACTTAAACCCAATCACGAACATGCTGGGCAGGCCGTCGAGGTACCAGTAATTCCTACAGGATAGTACCCTAGCTGAGATGTAAAAGCACACGTCTGAAGGATGCGTGTGAACTTTGTGCTGGAATCGACCCTGTCGGCATGCGTCACATCACCCACTCATCACTCTATGGATGTGAGTTTGGCAAACACTGGAAGTACGTAATAGGTGTCTATATGTGAAGCAAGCGGAGGAGAACATCCCTTGTTCCATTTATTTCGAACAAACACTTCTTTCTGTTTTTTTATTGTCATTGATGTTGATTTTGTTTCCATTAATAATTCAGATATTGTTTGTTTGACTATTTGGTAATATTTAAAACCCATGTTATTGTTCACCAGACATGGTGAAGACCTGGATACTTCTTGCAAATGTTTGTAGTTGTCGCAAATGAACTCGTAAGTTTGGCACAGATAAACTGGGGCTAGAGTTGGCAACAGGAGATGAATAGGAAAGGTAAAGCAAGACATCATTTAGCCACCTTGCATGGTGTTAAAAACGCCAAGAGAAAAATGCTATGTTGTTTGTAGCAGCCAAAGACATTTTGTTCCAATCATTTAGGTCAGAAACATTCTCCACTCACTCAGCTGCATTCGCGAGTGCCTGGCAAGTGAAAACATTGCACAATGTACAGTCTTGCGTTTTCGTGGCTGCAAAAAAAAAAGTTTCCACCATATGCCTGTGCTGGTAAGCTGAATATGTAGATGTAAACAAGTCTACACTGCAAAAAATGCATTTCTTACTTAGATTTTTGGTCTTGTTTTGAGTGCAATTATCTAAAAATTCTCAAATTAAGAAGAATTCTCAAGACAAGCAAAACGTATAGTCTAGTTTTGAGAAATAATATGCTAATATTAAGTGCATTTTTCCTTAAAACAAGCAAAAAAATCTGCCAATGGGGTAAACAAAATAAGCTTATGTCAAAAGGAAAAACAAGAATATTTTGCTTACCCCATTGGCAGATTTTTGCTTGTTTTAAGGAAAGACTCACTTAATCTTGGCATATTATTTCTCAAAACAAGACTATATGTTTTGCTTGTCTAAAAAATGCTCCTTGATTTAAGAGTTTTTAGATATTTGGACTTGAAACAAGACAAAAAATCTAAATGAGAAAAGCATTTTTGCAGTCTACATCAAGATGATCTTTGCTCTGCCATGATGATAGTCGATTTGAAACAGAAAGGTGATGATAGAAGATGTTTATGCAAGTGTTCATCAAGAATGTGATGTGTGTTTGATATTAGTTGTGTTTTCGCACACAAAACTGAGCTTGCAATGTACAGTTTACAAGTCAGAATTATTCGCCCCCTTTTGATTTATTTATTTTTATTCTTTTTTTTAAATATTTCCCAAATGATGTTAAACATAAAAAGGACATTTTCACAGTATTTCCTATAATATTTTTTCTTCTGGAAAAAGTCTTATTTGTTTTATTTCGGCTAGAATAAAAGCAGTTTTAATTTTTTTTAAAAGCCATTTTAAGGACAATATTATTAGGCCCATTAAGCTATTTTTTTCAATAGTCTACAGAACAAACCATAATTATACAATAACTTGCCTAATTACCATAACCTGCCTAGTTATCCTAATTAGCCTAGTTAAGCCTTTAAATGTCACTTTAAGCTGAATACTAGTATCTTGAATAATATCTAGTCTAATATTGTGTACTGTCATCATGGATCAAAGATAAATAAATCAGTTAAAACAATTTTGATTAGAAATGTGTTGAAAACATTCAATTCAATTCAGCTTTATTTGTATAGCGCTTTTACAATGTAGATTGTGTCAAAGCAGCTTCACATAAATGGTCATAGTAACTGGAACAGTGTGGTTCAGGTTTTAGTGTTTAAGTTCAGTTCAGTTCAGTTTAGCTCAGTTCAGTGTGATTTAATCATTACTGAGAGTTCAAACACTGAAGAGCCAATTCATCGATGCGTAGCTCTACCAATCCTGAACAATGCGAGGCAGTGGTGACAGCGGAGAGGGAAAAAAAAATTCACCTGATGGGAGTGAAGAAAAAAAACCTTGAGGGAACCAGACTCAGGAAACATCTCTCCGTTAAACAGAAATTGTGGGAAAAAATAATCAGGGGGGCGAATAATTCTGACTTCAGCTGTATATTTGCTAGTAATTTAAACGCATTACTTTTATTGAAGTTAAAAAGCTCACATCTCTCAGATTGGTCGCTGTTATGTTATTGATTGCCACAAATAAGTTGTAAAGCAATCACACACATTCACTCAAAAACTGCAAAAATATCAGGTTAAAACTGAAATCTGCTGGATATGACATCAATATGAACATGACAAGTCAACACTAGCTCACGGCTTTTCGTAACTTTTGAAATCTCATTCATTTTCTTTTCGGCTTTATTAATCTGGGGTCGCCACAATGGAATGAAACGCCAACTTATCCAGCATATGTTTTACGCAGCAGATGCCCTTCCAGCTGCAACCCATCACTGGGAAACATCTATACACACTTAAGCTGTGGTCACACTGGGCTTTTCCTCCCATAGACTTCCATTTATATGCACACAAATGCGTCAGACCGGAAATGTAGGGTTATGCGTCATGTTCTGCAGGTTGCTGCCATGCAAAGTTCAAGCTTGGTGAACTTTGACCTGCGAAATCGCATCACTTGACTGTGTGAGACCAATCGAGGATCGCAGTTTCATTCACACATATACACTACAGACAATTTAATTTTGGACTATGGGGGAAACCGGAGCACGCGGAGGAAACCCAAGTGAGCCCGAGCGAGTTTTTTTTTCTATTTGAGCCATTTACATGCTTTACCGATTGGTGAAAATGTTTGCTGAGGCAACGTTTAGTAAATCCAATCACTGATCCGTTCTTAAGATGAAACGTAAATAAACCTACATACAATCTGATGTCATAAAACATGCAAGCATACAGCAGTGTGAGAGGTACATTAAAACCAGATTCAAACAATAACCTGCATACTTGTTTACCCACTGATTGAGTATTTCAGATCCACACCACTCCAATCCGAAATGTAGTTGACGTCAATTTAGTCGAGTCGACGTCAGTAGTTATTTTTCCAATCTCCGCATTTTGGAAATGCACATAAAAAACAACCGAGTAGGATAAACTTTTTATTCGATAAGAAAAAATGTGTATAAACTACGATGGAAACACTTTTACCGAACAAATTCCAGTGTGTGTGTAACGGAGGCCAGCTAGTAAAGTGCTGTGCAGGTAAACCTCACTCCTCTGAAGGTGCTCTAGCAACAAACACTAGAGGCCAAGGTCTTTAGCCTCCTTGTTGGAGCAACCGACTCCCATGCGGAAGGACGCCGGTTCGATATCAGCTCGAAGCGGGTTGTCGGATCGGCGGGGTTACATGCGCATTAAAAAAAGATCATGTCATTTTGTTATAAGAGATCATGTGATGATAAAAATGTGTGTGAATGGATAAACCAGCAGGCTGAGCACACTGTAAAGCATATGAACTGTTGTTATGGTCATCCTAAAACGCCTGAACCGTTTCAGTATTAGAGTTATTATATTATTAATTACCTCCAGAATTGTTAACTGTGTATCTTTAAACACTACCACGTGCTCATTGCTTGTCAGCATCGCCTTCTGAGGCGCAAGCCATTTATTAAATAAAGAAAAGATTGACGCAGCTTCTACCGCAGCAAATTACGTTTTTATTGTTGATATTTGGCGCCAGTTAATAAGGAAGTGACGATTTTGTTCTCTTTGACTCATTGGATGGAATTAGCACGTCTTTTATGCGAAATTCAAGTTTTGTGCATAAATTTAATTTGCACCTTCGGATGGAAACATAGCTAAAGTCAACGTGCATGTAAACGCAGCTATTGATGTGAGAAGAGTGTGTCAGTAACGTCAGAGAAAGGATGTGAATGTGAACAGATTGTCAGGTTGCGCAAGTGAGAAACGGTTTAGTGTAGATGCCAGCTTTATAAATGCCCTGCAGAAGCTGCGGCGAATGCTGACGTGTATAACCTCTAACACAGAATGAAGAAATAAAAACGTTAATCCAGAAGTCCACACATCTCGAAGCGTCTTCCTGAATTTGTGATCTTGTTTTCTCTCAGAGAAAGTGATCCTTTGTTACAAAGAATTGCACTGATTATTATATTTCTACTTTTTTTTTTATTTGTAGCTTTTGTTTGTTTTATTTTCATTTGTAGTCATAGCTTCATCCACATGACATGAGTTTATGATGTGAGGTGGAGCTTCCCCTTTAAACCAGTCCTCGTCATAACCGGTATTCAAGACAAACTATCCGTTAAAAGGGGCAGCATCCATTCATGCCCAGGATTCTTTTAAAGGTGACACTTGTTTGTATTAGGATGAGAGTCCCAGACACAGGAAGTGGAAGGAGAAACCAGCATTGTCACGCTACAGCTGTTTATTGTTGTTGTCTATGATGATGATGATGATGATGTCGATATTGTTGACCCACTATGATGTATTGTAACACATTACTGTTGTGGTGCTCTAGTGGTAAATAAATTATTTAAGTGAACAGGAATGGTGAGTGTTTCCTTTGAATGATAACAGTATATGTGCAACAGTACAGACATAAACACTCACCGGCCACTTTATTAGGTACACCTTACTAGTATTGTGTTGGACCCCTTTTTGATTAAGAACGGCCTTAATCCTTCCTGTCATAGATTCAACAAGGTACTGGAAACATTCCTCAAAAGATTTTGCTCCATATTGAGATGATAGCATCACACAGTTGCTGCAGATTTTTCGACTGCACATCCATGAAGCCAATCTCACGTTCCACCACATCCCAAAGGTGCTCTACTGGATTGAGCTCTGGTGACTGTGGAGGCCATTTGAGTACAGTGAACTCATTGTCATGTTTAAGAAACCAGTCTGAGATGATTCACGCTTTATGA